GTAAAAAACGACCATAAAAATTGCAAAACTGAAAATTTGTATGGACCTAATGAACCTCCGTACCAATTTTGGTGAAGATCTATCCACACCCAGCAAAGTAGTTACATGGACATACAACAAACAGTACTATTATATTTATATAGATACTCTGAAATCTGGTAACAAGCATGTAAGTTTAGATTATAAATGTATATGGAAGGTCTTTCTACACCAAGTAATGTAACTTTTATTTACCAGCAGGCTTTATGTACTAAAATGTATTATTTTGTGTACATTACCATTTCTATAGTCACCACCACCACCATAAAGACAAAGTCTTTCAATATACATGCTTTTAAATATAACACTATTTCATTTCTCTGATGATTAACAAAAAGAAATAAAAAAAAAAACTAAACAGAAAGTAGGACAGTGAAATTTAAGCAACAGTCACTATAAGCCACTTAACCGTTACAAAAATCCTACCTGCTTGACTAAGTACTTTCTTGCAGTTGCTCCAAACAGCTTCTTTGCATTTATTTTCAGGAAGGTCAAAGAGAAGCCCACTGAACATAAGGTTAAGTATTTCCAAAATGATTTATGTCTGTATAAAGAGTTACATTTTTGTTTCCATATTGTGACGTGAACACTATCGACATGGGTCAAAGGGCATGTCATCGCGTATGATGACTTGCATTCAAATTTTATTGGACTACTATTTTATGAAATTATATCAATAAGTTTGGTATCAAACTGTAGATTATATAATTAAAATTTTAGTATTATACATTGGTTAATTTCTTAATTAAAAAAACACTTAAATATTGATTGTTGTGTGTCACATGGTATGTTAAATGTTGCACTGGTTTAAATTAGATGTTTGTGATGTCCAAATACAAAGTTGATAGTTTCATACAAATTAGGAACTCAAATTACCAATACCGACAAGCTAATATATAAAATATGAACATCCTATCTTTTCTATTTGCTGAGATATTGCCACATTTACTGAATCAAACATAGTGGCCCTACCCATCTCTTTTCATTTTTGGAAACATTTCCTTATATACACCTAATTCTGTCTATGACATGCGAATAACCAATCGAAAGCTCAGAATGTCCCCCTAGTGGCTTTCTCAGCCATTTTCAAGTATTATGACATCAAACTCGTTCTTTTGATACACGACTTCAAACTGATAAGGCGAGTCTTTAGTCTGCTCAAAATTTTATTTTGTTTTACACCCAAATATAGCTCCGTTACTAAAATGGATAAATTATAGTGGAACTCTATGTTACTGATATAGTAATTTATGATTTTTGGATTATTTCAAACGTATATATAAAACCTTAAAAAATTATTTCGTTCAAATTCTCCAGGTGAAAAATTTGATAAGGCCTAGCAATCTATGGCAAGCAGAAAACAAGTACAAAGTTCATAACTAGAAAAATAATTGTTTGCTATATTTCTTTATTTATTGTTCTATGGTTTAAGTAAAATAAGTTTAAGAACTTATTTGTAAATAGTAATAATAGTAGTAATTTAAGCTATTTAGATTAAACATTTGTGTTTTCATATTATACTCTGTAGTCATTCTAAAAAAGCATAATTTATATTTACTTCCCAATTTTCTATGGTGGTTACAAGATCGGTCAAATCGATCGAACTCATACAGAGATTCATTAGTTGAAATAACAGAAAATACAGTTTTTCTTAAGAAATGTTTGATAATTATCTGGATGTTATAAAGATTTTGCACATGAAATTTGAAAATTATCTGATGCATAAAAGTATTTTTAATCTTAAAATCAAAATTTCTTTGCATGTTGGATAGTCAACATGTGTAAACAAAAAAGGCATGAGAAAAACAATTACTTAAAAATACTGATATTTTGCATACAAAAGCCTTAGTAACATTTACTGATAATCTGCAAAATTTCCTGAGACTGCCAA